AATTTAAAAATTTTGTGTTACAAAGAACATCATCAGGAAGGTGAAGACAAATCAGACAATGGAATAAAATATTTGCAAATCATATATCTGACAAGGGTCTTATATCTAAAATATATAAAGAATGCTTACAAATCAGTAAATAGACCAATAATCCAATTAAAAATGGACAAAGAATTTGAATAGATATTTTTCCAAAGAAGATATATAAATATTTATAAGCACATCAGTTACAAGTAGTCATCAGGGAAATATAAGTCAAAACCACATGAGGTACCACTTCACATTCACTAGGATGCCTATAATTAAAACTACAGATAATAACATGTATTGGCAAGGATGTGGAAAAACTGGAATCCTTGTATATTGCTGGTGGAAATGTAAAATGGTGCAGCCACTTTGGAAAATAGTCTGACAGTGCCTCAAAAGGTTGAATGTAGACCCTAGGCATATACCCAAGAGAAATGAAAACATATGTCCGTATAAAAACTTGAACACAGATGTTCATAGCAGTATTATTTATTATAGCAAAAAAAGTGGAAACACCCAAATGTTTATCAACTGATGAATGGATAGACAAGTATATCCATACAATGGAATATTATTAGGCAATAAAAAGAAATGAGGTATCAATACATACTATAACATGGATAAACCTTGAAAATATTACTCTAAGGAAAAGAGTCAGTTACAAAAGACCACATATTATGTGATTCCCTTTATATGAAATGTCCAGAATAGGCAAATGTATAAAGACAGAAAGTAGATTAGTTGCTACCTAGGGGTGTGATGGGTAGGGAAAAGGGGAGACTTCCAATGGGCATGGATTTTGGGGGTTAATAAAAATGTTCTAAAATTGTAGTGATGGTCACACAACACTTTAAACCATTAAATTGTGAATTATAAACAGGCAAATTGTATGGTGTATGAATTATATTCCCCCCAAAAGTGTTATTTTTTCACCTTTCTGATGATAATGGGAAATTTTTAAACAGTGTTATTTTTACAAAAGAGATAATTGACTGTTTAAGGCAAAAATAATATAACAATGTACTATTGGGTTTATAACATAGAAGCAAAATGCATGACAATAATAGCACAAAGGGAAATAGAATTATATTGTTATAAAATTTGTATGATACTCATGATAACATCTGAAAGTAGACTGTGGTAAGTTGAAGATATTTATTGTAAACCTTAGAGAAACCACAAAAATTAATAAAAACATAAAAAAGAGTTATACTAATAAGAATGAAGATAAAATAGAATCATAAAAAGCACCCAGTCCCAGAGAAAGCAAAGAAAAGAGGAAAAGGCAACAAAATATAGGGGGGACAAATAGAACACTAACAGCAAGATGGCAGATTTAAACTCAACCCTATTGATAATAACATTAAATGTAAATGGTCTAAACACTCCAATTAAAAAGCCAAATATGTCAGATTAGATAAATGACACAATTATATGCTAAAAGAAACCCGCTTCAAACATAAAGTCAGTGAGGTTAAAAGTAAAAGAATAGAAAAAGATATTCCATGAAAACACTAATCAACAGAAAACTAGAGTGATTATTCAATATCGGACCAATTAGACTTCAAAACAAGGAATATTACCGGGGATAAAGAAGGACATCTCATATTGATGAAGGGTTAACTCCTTGAGAGTGCACAACAACCCTAAGAACCGAAGTTCAATCTACATAAAGCACAGACTGAAAGAACTGGGGGTAGTGGGGTGGGAGGCTAAAGAGAAAGGTCTAGGGAGCAGCTCTAGTCATCTTTAGCTTAGAGATGGAACTTGAGGTCACGGTAATAATGAGATTACCAGAAAGAGACATAAGGGAGAAAAGAGACCAGGACATAAGAAATTCTGACAAAGAAGACTTAGAAATAATAATCAGGCAATAATAGCACAATGGTAGATGGAAAACAAGGAGAGCATGGGGTCATGGAGTGCAAGGGAAGAGTGTTCCAAAAGGCAGAGCATGTGCTGTTATGTCAAATGCTGCTGAGAGGTAAAATGGGAACTAAAAGGCTTCATCTGGATTTACACTAAGGATTGTTGGCAAGAGAAGCATAGGTAGTGAAGGAAGGGGTGCACAAAAGCCAGGTTGGAGTGGACTGAGGACTCAGCAGGAAGTGGAGATAATGAACAGTGGCTTTGATTGCAATAGGCTTGGCAGAGAAGGGCAGGAAACAAAGGAGGCTGTAAAGTCAAGGTATTTTGTTGTATTTTTAAACAAGGTTACAGTGGAAGGAGCCAGGTGAGTGAAGGCATGACGATACAGAGAAGGGAAGGAACAAGAAAAAGAGCAAGGTACTTGGGGGCCTGGGGAGGTGGGAAAGGTTATTAGATCTCTGGTGGAGAAGGTAACTGGAGGAGAGACACATCTATCACTCAACAGGATGGGGGCAGAGGGACAGATAGGTGTGGACACAGGTAAGTTTGGAGCTCAGAGCAGAGGTTAAGGGAATTTTCTCCTGAAGAGTTTTCTCTTCTCTGTGAAGACAGAGTCTAGGTTGACTGCTGAGAATGAGCAGGGAAGCCGTGATATAGGAAACTACAATAAGTCCTCACTTAACATCATCAATAGGTTCTTGGAAACTGAGACTTTAAACAAATGATAGCAGGTCCTCAAATAATATCATTTCATTCAACATCATTTGGTTATAACATTGACAAGAAAGAAAATGGTTTTGTAATATGTCATTTCACTTAAAGTTACAATTTCCAAGAACCTATGGACGACGTTATGGACTTACTGTAGAGAGTAATGTGAGAGCTTTGAAGTCGCTGTGGAGGGAATGGGGTAGGCCTGGGCTGCAGAACTGCTGGGCATTGCTGGGGGCTCAGTAGAGGCTGTGGACAATCAGTCTGGACCAGTGTCAATCCATGAAGGAAGTCCTCCCACCCCTCCAAACCAGGACTGGTGAAGGTGGGCAGTTGCCATGTTCTAAGGTTGGGGTACAAGACTAAGGGGCCAGGTGGGGAATACTGTGCAGCTGAAGTAACAGGCTATAGGGTCCACATAGGACAGGAACAAGAGTCAATTTGGAGTGAGGAGAAAAACTAGGACTCAAGGGCCTGAAGGTCTCTAAGAACAGACATAGTGGAGATAAGGAAGACACGATGCATAGGAGGTACAAAGAGATTTAAGATGTCAGAGGTGGAACAGTTTCAAACAGTGACAAGATGCCAGTGATGGGTGGATGAAATAGGGATGACATTCAATAAGTTGAAGACTACAGGAGACTCAGAGGTCAGAGTATGGAGACACTGCCCTCATGGACATGGAAGCTCCGTACAGTGGTAAAACCTAGGATGAAACACTGTGAACCAAGAGCCAAGCTTCTCCTGCTGTGCTGTTTCCCTCAGTGGCTGGACCATCTAGCTTTGCCACTAATTATGGCTATTCCCAACCTGCGGAGGGAAGCTAGCCCTCAACCCTGAGGCTGCCTAGCTCCTCACTTGCCTTGTCCCCCTACTTACAGGCCTGTGTGCCCATACAGGACTGGTTGACATCTTGAATTGTTCAGTTTTGCGTGACATTAAGGGACACTGGCAGAGCATGGAAGAGCCAGAGTGGTTCTGGGGGCCCTGGGTGAAGCAGAGAGGTCTGAATCCCAGAAACGAGCCAGCCCAGAAGTCCAGTATGGCCAGGAGTCCCTGCCAGCCAGCCACCAGCTGTCAACACATAGCCCACAGTATGCTCAGAGCCTCCACTCATATCAGGCAAGGTCAATGCCAAAGGACCACTCGCTCCCAGTAAGGCCCTTGACTCTCACACAGCGAGGCTGCCCCCTCACCTGAGTTGCAAAGAATGAGCCTGCATTCTAGTTCTGACTCTACCATGAACTTGCAGTGTGACCTTGGATCAAAACCTGAGGCCTTGATTTCACCTGCTAAGCAAGGGGTTGGGTGTGGGATCTCAAAGACTTTTGCAGCCCTGACAGTGGGTGCAGGAAGGAGACTCGCATCAGCTCACATCACTCAAAATGCACCAGCTGCAGCAGACAAATGAGCTGAAGCCTTCAAGCCTCATTAGCATCACCACAGCAGAGTCCTCCCTCCGGGGTTCGCTACTTGCACCCCTCCTCCTCCTTCCCAAGAGCCTCTGAAGCAGGCTCCAGTGATGCACCTGCTCCATCTTTCCCTTCATGAGATTTTCTTTAGACTAAGAAGCCAGCCTGGCCTGAGGCTGTGTGTAGAAAAGGAGGGGCCCATGGGGCCCCTCAGGACACACCTGAGACCCACAGTGCTCCACAGAGCTTCCCTATTAGGGCACTGTTGTCACAAATGTCACATGAGGAGGCAGACCAGAGCCCCAGATGCCCCCCGTACTTCTCCAGCCTGGTCCGTGGAAGGGCAGGCAGATTGCCCAGTGCTGGGGACCCTCGTTAGCAGCCACTCTGCAGCTGGGGTCAGGATCCCCTTATCTTGCTTCATCTGGACACAGGACTGAGCCCCCTCCTTCACAGCTGTTTCTGACCATCCCCCTGGGACAAGAAATACATCCTAGGGACCCCAACATCATAAACAACAAACGAGGTCCTGGTCAGGTGAGACCCACCTCCTGACTGCAGAAGACAGGCCCGGGCATGCCAGCCTGGGGCAGGGAGTGTCTGCCTCTGGATCCCTGGGCATGGGAAGGCATGGGGCGGGGGGCTCCAACACCACAATTCCCTCAGTGGTCCTGGGCCATAGTGTGACCACAGGGAGAGGACACCTCCTCAGTCCCAGGACAGGCTGGCAACCTGGGCTCTCTCAGCAGCACCACCTGGCTAGAGTCAGGGCCAAAGGACCACAGGAGGATCCAAGAGGAACAAACCAAGGCCACAACAGCTACAGTAACTGCAGATATTGTGGCCACTCCCTCCCCCAAACTCCATTTCACCCACAACTCCCTGACAGATGTGGGGTCCATGGCCACCGAGCCACCCATGCCCACCCTGCTGTGGGTGGCCTTCCTGAGGCCAGCACTCCCTCCTCCCCTGCCAGCTCACCGAGCGATCTCCCTTCCTTCCTTCCAGTATTTCCTCCTGCTTGTTCTCCTGAGGAGAGAAAGAAGGGGTGACTCTCCACACACTTGCTGCCTCACCTTGTCATCCCTGCCCACTGCCTGGCCAGACAGTGGTCACTCAAGGCTTCCTTCGGTGCCCTGGTCCCAGCCGCCTAGTAGGTGAGTTACGGGATGGATCGGGTGGAGGGGCTTCCACAGGGGGCTCGCTCTGTGGGCCCAGGACAGCAGGCAGGCAGTCCCGAACCAGGGCAGTGATGGCCAGAGCCGTGGGAGGAGAGCACTGGGAGTGGGGACGGGCAGAAGCTGGAAGGAGGAGCCCACCAGAAGAGGCAGAGGGCAGGAGCATGGAGCCTCCAGAGGCCTGGAGGCAGGGGGAGGCCCTGGCTCCCGTGGTGGAGCACCCCCTGAGATCCTGAGCAGATCCTACTGTCATAAAGCCTCCCTAGTCACCTGCCTAGAGCCTGAAGGGTTTGGGGGGACAGGCTGTGGGACCCCATATGGTGATAGGGGAGCAGCATGGGGGGAAGGGAGGCCTTGGACCTGCACAGGGGCGAGGTCAGTGAGGGTGGGTGGGTGGAGCTGATGCAGGGGCAGGGTCCATGGGCTAAAGGTGGGGGTGTTGAGTGCTTACCGATCTCTTCGGTGGCCCCGTTTCAGGGGCCCAGCTTTCCTGTGCTGCTTTGAATGCTGAGATCCCATGGGCCGGGGAGTGCCTCCTGGGAACAAAATCCCTGTCTTGGCAAAAGAAAGAAACCCAGAAAGACGGCAAAGGTGTCCTGGCCCCCATGGTGGCCAGAGGATGGGGTGAATCTGGGGGATAGTCCTGTATCAGGCTGCACAGGAAGGCCTGGAGCCTGTTGAAATTCCCTGTATTCAGCTCAGTATTGAAGCCAGCACAAGCCCACTTGGGTGTCTTCCTTATCACCATGGCAACAGCCAGACTAACAACCACCACCACTGGTTAATTAGGACATGGAAACTCTTCTGCCGGGCAGTCTCCCTCCCAAACCCTCAGGACCAGACTGAATCCTCAAGGTCTCAGTGGCCATGCCACACAGGGACACCCAATTGCTGGTCTCCATGGCAACAGAGACCAAGTATCCCTGCATCTGTAGGTTACTATAGCAACCCAGGCAGAGCCAAGTGCACTGAGGACAAAGGCCCCATCTGAGGAACCACAGCCAGAGGACACATTCACTGCTGCCCTCTCCATGGCCAGCCCTGTGCTAGGGCTCAGGCTCTGTGCTGGCAGGCACACACTGACTTTGGGGGCTGATGGCAGATCTAGGCTTTGCTCGTCTGAATCCCCAGCCTCATGTCCCTTTGCTCCACCCAAAGTGTACCTGGGTGACCTCATCCCCTCACGGGGCTTCACCTACCACAGCCCTCACACTGAGAATGTCTAAGCCTGCATCGTGGGCCCCGCCCTCTCCTAAACTCTAAACCCTCTATCTACCTGCTGTCTGGATACAGTGCCCTAGATGTCCCACAGCACCTCACCTGAGGTATGTATGCAGTCCTGGACTTCCTTAAGTCTGACCTTTCCTTCTATACATTCTGTCTCTGTCCCGGAGGCACCATTATAGCTTCCTGCTTTTCCCTGCCCACCTTCCTCCGCCAGTCCAGACAACCATCAAGCACTTCTGATGCTATGTCCTGAGCATGTCTGGAATCTACCCACCCCATTTTTCAAACCCAGTTCTGATTCGGGGCCTCCTTGTCTGTTGCTCGGAGCTTGGATCAGGAAGGTGTCTATGTTCAACTTGCTCCTCTCACATCCACTCTACACCTGGCACCAGAGCTTTCTAAGATCAGGCGCCCTTCCCCTGCCGAAACCCTTCAGGAGCTCCCCACTGCCTCAGGACAGAGCCTAGGCTGTTGTACTCTGTCCCAGGTTCCTGCCAGCCTGTCCAGCCTCACCTACTACCAGGCCCTCCCTAACTCCCGGGTGACGTCGCCTCCTGTCTCTCCCTTCCCTCCCTCTAGCTTCCCTTCTTCTCCTTCCTTGTCCATCCTTGGCCATGCTCTTATAAAAACTGCACCCAGATTTTCAATGAGAGCTTGGAACAATAATTAGGGATCTTCAGGATGCAATTTCAAATATCTGAGGAGAAAGTGATACCCAAATGCAAAGCCAGACACTGCTGGCCCCACTGCTGGATGCTGGACACCTGGGCCCTAGTCTGCCAAGCAGAGACTGCAATGGTCAGGGAAGGAAGGTGGAGCCCATTCTGTTAACTCTTATGGCCTCCAGGAAACAGAAGAATCACAGACTGCCAGCTGAGAGGGGCATCTCATCCCTTCCCTCCCATATTGCAGATGGGAAAATCAGGCTCAGAGGGAGGGAAGGTCAGAGCCAAGGCCAAAACCAGGTCTCCCAATATGTAAGCTGCTGTTCTCTCTGCTTGGACACATGCCTCAAAGCTCCAAAGCCAGCCTCAGGGAAGTCAGTTCAAGGGGTACATGCACAGATACACTGCACGTGGGCAGCTTCCAGGTGGGGGAAGTGTACGTGTGCTTGCACCTGCAATAGGAGACCTGACCCCTCCCTCTCTCATAAACTCTCTTTCAGTTGTCCTCTGTCCTGCAGGTGGAATGGAACCTCCCAATCATAGTCAAAGGGCATCTCAAAGCCTACACTCAGGCCAGCACTTTCTCAAGCACAGTGTCCTCCCTGGTCTCCTTCCTGCCAAAGCTCTCAGGTTTATACATTGGTTCATAGGGTTAAACCAGAGGAAGTGGACAAGGAAGGTGGAGTTCTCAACTATAGGCAAAGCCAGCTTCCTCCAAAGAGGCCCATCCTCAGCTTGAGTCTGGCCCGTGGGGCTCAGCTGCTACTTAGGCTTCTGCCCATGACCGTGGGGGATGACAGGGAAGAATGGCCAAAAAGATCATTAAACAGAACCCCAGGCCTGGATAAGCTGCATCCCTCCAGGGTCACAGCTCCCTGGGGCAGGCAGTCCTTTTGAAGCTGATGTATAGGTGATTATGAAACCTCTTCATGCACACTTTGAGCAGCAGGCTGCTGGCTCCTCCCAGAGTGGTCCCTCCACCTCTGCAGTGGCCATCTCTTCTTCACTTCAAGCCCAAACACATCGCCCTTTGGTTCTAGTTCTGCTCTACAGGGCCTTATAGAATGTGACTCTTCAATCTCTCATGGCGCTTTGCATTAGCGCATTTAATGGTGAGCATAACCCTCTAAGGAGGGCAATGTTATTGCCATTTCACAGAAGGGGAAGCAAAGGCTCACAGAGGGGAGAAGCTTGCCCAGTAAGTGGCAGAGTATGTAGGAGGACTAGGAATGACCTACGACTGCCAGGCTGGGGATTGGACAGCTCTGTGTACACTGAGGGCTCGAAGGGAGATGACAGAGTAGAACAGGTGGGGCAGAGGTGCTTCTGATGCATGTCACCTGAGACCCTTGGGCCCCCACTGTGACAGGCATGTGGACACTGAGTGCTTGAGAGACCTAGGCCTGGACCTTGACAGGACAATGCCTCAAGTCACAGAGACAATGTGGCTTCTTGGGCACCCCTTCAATATTGATCTTTCTGAAATGTTTATCCCTTGGACTAGCTGAGCACAGCCGGGGACAGGGAGAGCACGTTCCCTGGTGCCAGACCCTGCTCAGCAGAACAGAAACCCTTCAGTGAGCAAGACCTACCCTCTGCAGAAGGCTGGTCAGCAAATATCCATGTCACTTCAGCGTCTCACCTCCCTGTCACAAACAGATCAGCACAGTCTTCCTTCAGCCACATGCTGTCCTCTCCCTGGGAGGAATGCAGGCACATGTAATTTTCTCCACCTCTTTACGTGTCCAGTAATGTTTTGACTTCCTCTTAGATCAGTGTGTCAGGGATGCTGTCAGGCATAGCTGCTTACTAAGCCCCGGCTGGACGTGATTATAGGAGTGGAGCAAGACCAGCATGTTCTGTCCCCCAATTACTGCAGCAGTTACCATGGCAACCTCCAGGCCCTCTTTGAGGGCCTTGAAAGCTGCAGCAGGTCCAGCGGGATGGAGTGGAGGATGGGCACTCAGGAAGGACAGCCCAGGGAGAGGCCTCCTGGGCCCCTGCTCAGAGGGGAGTAGGGGGTGAGGGCTCAATGTGGGGGCAGTGGGTGGGGCCAGGGACTGGTGAGTTGAATGAGGCACTCACGTGGAGGACAGAACTTAAGGACATGCCAAAAACCTCAGTGATCAAGAGATATAATGCTTACGTTAAAATTAATGCAAAAATGCCCGTTATAAACAGGGATGGGATCAAGGTAAGGCAAGTGAGGCCAAGTCCTGCAAGTCCAGTGTTGAATCCTGCCTCTTTATTAAGATTTTGATTTTGTTTGTTACGCACATTTTTGCACATTTATTTTGATTTTTTAAAAATATTGCATGAAATATTATTTACCTTGATTACTGAGCTTTTTGGAGGTCCCTTAAATTTTGCACTTGAGTTAAATGCCTCTCTAGCCTCACCCTCGTCTCGGCCCTGGAGGGGAGGGACAGACTGAAGTGGGGTAGGAAGGACCCTGATGCAGTTGAGATCACATAGTAGCACAAGCAGCCAGGAGACGTGGGTTCACATCTGTCAACTGCAGGGATTCCTCTTGGTTCTGACAGAATCCAACTCCGATTTCACAAGACTCTGCAACGTGAAGATGGCTGTTGGGCTGCACAGGTGCCTAGTGTGCACATGGGCCCCCTATGTACCGTGGTGACAGTGACTCATAAGGTGGCTCCCATCTCCTGGCCTCCCTCAGTTGGCTGCCACAGGGAGGAGAGGGGAGAACAGGGGGAAAGGGGAAAGGAGGGGGCGGGCAGGGAAGAGGCTGGCAGTTTTGCATGACTGGGAGCAAGAATGGCAGATTAGCTGTAATTGCCTGAAGCTCAGAGAGGCTGTTGATAAATGTTACTAATAATCAACCTTCAGATCTGACACCCAGCTCAGGCTGGGATTACTGTTTTGAATGGAAATTGAACCCAAACCAGTAATTACCCCGGTGAGCGATGCCAGTCTTACTCTGGAGCCTGTTCTAGGCAGGGAAATGGCACCTGCATGTCAGCATCAGCCCATCAGGGAGAGGACTCAGCAAAGGACTCCTTCCTGGGGTCACGCCAAGAGCACAAACTGGCCTGCACTCTGCCAGTGCAATGGGACACAGTTAACAGGAATACCCACCCTTCTTCCTAGGACCTGCAGCAGATGAGGAACCCCTGCCTGTAATCTGCAGTCTGTAAGCAGAGTCCAGACCTCAGGCCTCACTCCCATTGTCCTTCCCACTTTGGGTTGGGTGGAAGTCCCTTGTTGATATCATCCCTAGCTATCAAAAGCAGTAGCTTGGGGAAGGATGGCTGTCCCCCTAACATAGGTCCAGCCCTCCAGCCTATATCTGGGACCCTTGGACAGCCACACATTGTTCCTTGTTAGATTGGGAGCCTCCTGTAATGGCCTGAGCCGGGGCCAGGTGAGAGGGGCAAGGCCACCATAGGCCATAGAGCCCATCTAGCCTGGTCTCTGGTCCCTGCTTGCTCCCAGCACCAGACAATGCCAGGTATGCCTGGAATCTCTACCTGGAAACAAGCAGCATTCTCTGGCTCTCCTCATGTCCCCATGGTGCCTCTCAGCCTGTCTAGAGACCCCTAAAATGAGGGCATCACCAGAAAACAGGCGAGAGGGGAAACGCTGTTCCTCTCTTTGAATTGTTCCCCTCCCCAGGGTATGTTCTGTGCTGTGTCCTTCTCCCTGGCTTCCCGCTAGGGTAGCTGGATACAAGAAAGAAAAGAAAGGAAAGAAAGGAAAGAGAGGAAAGAGAGGAAAGAGAGGAAAGAGAGGAAAGGAAAGAAAGGAAAGAAAGGAAAGAAAGAAAGAAAGAAAGAAAGAAAGAAAGAAAGAAAGAAAGAAAGAAAGAAAGAAAGAAAGAAAATAAGTTGGTTCACTAGACAAGCTACAATGTTATGAATGGTGATGGTGCTCTCTCCTATTTACATATCACTCACCACCAGACACCTTCTGCCCTCTCTGCTTTGCCAGGGCGAGTGGCCCCGAGGAGAATGAGACAGCCCCACTCTCAGGAGTGCCCTGTGGGGAGGAGTAGGAGCAGGCAGGTGAT